GCAGTCCCAGCAGCTGTGCTGAATGCTCTGTTTGCAAGAAGTGCTTTTTCTTTAGGTACCTTGTGAAGATAGTGGCTAAAGAAGGTTGTTTATTTAGGTGCATCCCTAATTATTTCCTTTAATTATTTTAAATGCTTTTAACTGCTTAGCTGGCGTTCAGCATATAGGAAAAGCCTCTCACTTACATATGGTGTTAGGATAACATCTTGTTTTTCGAAGCATTTAAACTACCAGACACCAACATGCAGCCTTTATTATCTAATAGCATTCACAAAGGACACACAAAAAGGGAGCAGGTAAGGGAGTACCTTGGAGTCCTAGAAAATTATTTTAGACATCCTACATTCTCCTTTCTCTGCGCTTTTTACTTCTCATTGCACTCCCTATCTGATACTTAAAACACTTTCCCCCTCAAAAACAGCCCCCAAAAAAACCCTTGATCACTTGATCATGAGGGTAATTTTAAAGCTTTTTCTCCCAATGGATATTGCTCTGGAGCAACCCGAATGATTCTATACTATTGTCCCAGTCATATTGGAAACCGCCATGAAGAAACAAGCTGTCGAGCTTACCCTCCTTGCTGCCTAGCTCTGCTGAGCTTATTGTGGCTGAGATAGCTGTGAAAAGGGTGTTTCAGCTGCTTTAGAAAGGATGGGGCTGGTAAATGCATCCTAGGCAGGAGCTGACATCTTAGAAAATGAAAGAAAACCAAAGATTGGGGAGTATTTTATTTTGCAAATGCTTCTGAAATCAAATATTTCACTCACTGACTTACTGCAGTTAATATACTGTGTTTTACAATAGGTTCTATAGGCTTTTTATTTATATATGTCCTGTAATAGGTACAGTATTCTGTGTAGTAACAAACCCCTAGTGAACAATTTAGGAGAAAAAAGCATTTCTAGCTTTGTGGTGGACCTTCTCTTTCTACGGCAGTAGGTGTTAACTGTGCTGTTTTCTTGCTGATATTTTTTAGAGGCTTCAGGATTTTGCAATAAAAGATTAGACAAGTTCTTCGAGGTATTCGTTTCGTTAAAACACGCATCCTTTTCCTATCAAGATCTAGTCCTGCTCCACCTTCCTTTCAGTGTGGAAAGGATTTCCAGTTAGGATAATTGCCATCTCTTTATCTACCTCTTTGTGTTGCTTTTCAGGCATGAAGCCATCTGGTAAATTATAAGAGCCTACTATGAAAAGAAAGACTTTCATTTTTTTAGCAATTTGTTCTTGCTGTGGCCTTTTTTTTTTATAGGGATTAGTTTTGCTGTAACTGAATTTTTAAGGGCTTTTTTTTGTGATTTATTCATCTCATTATGTAATTTGTATATATACTTCTGTGTTTTAAACATCTAAGCTCACGTTCATTGTTTCCCTGGTGCATCTGCGGTGAATAAATACTACGATTTTACCAATTCAGACTTTCTGCAAACATATTCACATAAGCACGTGTTAATTTTCTTCGGAGGCACCAGTCTGTTGTATATTGTTCTGCGTATTTATGTGTACAGAGGCGGCAGTATATACGGCTGCGCACGCGTATCCGATCAGGTTTCATTAGGTTGTAATGCAAGATTATACGGCCGAGACGAGCAAAGAGCTGCAGCGTTTTGAACAAAAGGGTTAATTCCCTATCATCGTGTGCGTGGATGATGCCATGTGGGATCATTTGTGAGCTCTGAGGTGGGTGACCATTTCCATTTTGGCAAAAATCCCTCGAGAGGCAGAGCATTTCAGAGCGGGGTGTGATGTGTTCTCCTGGTAAGAGTGATTGACAGGGGATGAATAAATAGTTAAAAGAACTGAATAAATGCCACCCTCCTGTTTAAGTCTAGGCACACCCAGGCTAGCACATATATATTCTAATGCAACACTTCAGCCAGATGCTTGAGTTGTCTAGTGACAAAAACATCCTTGAAAGGCCAAATCATGGTTTAATTATTACTGCTTCTGAGAAGAGTTTTATTTTCTGGTGACATTTTCCTGGAGATTTGAATAAATGCAGGGCATTACAATATTTTGCAAGCAGAATGAAATGATAAATATATATGCAAAAGGTGACTGAGGCCTCTTGAGTGGAAACAGGGGCCCTGACAGCAGATTTTTGGTCAATGGGTGAGGTGAAATGGTTCACTGAATTGGATAACACCGTGCATGCCATAGTGACTGATTAAATTAATTTGTTCATGGCTGCCGCCTACTCTTTAGCCTATTTTCAAACTTTTTCTAAACCCACTAAATAAATGTGGCATTATGGAAGCGAATGCATATGTATTTAGAGCTTTAAAAATCTGTTGTCTGCATTAAGATAAAATGCATGATTTCCAGAATGTCTGAACACTCCTGAAATTGCCTACTTTTAGATAAAAAGCTAGTGAATAAGTTTCTATTAGTACACGTCTGGAAACAAGTAAGTAGGATATTAGTAAGCACCATTCTTCATTATAGTCTCAATCATGACTTGGGCAACATAAACTATTTTTTCATTTGCAAATGTTATAAACTATGTGGATGTTACAATTGTTAAAAACTATGCAGATCTTAACTATGCAATTCTTTTAAAGGTTTATTTCCTAGGTGAAACTCTGACTGTAAATGTAGTTTTCCATGTGTTAAACTTCATTTCTTTGCCTAGACTAATAGTAGCTGGATCAGAGCTTGGTTACTGCCCAGGGACCTAAAATTTCAAATATTTTAATGTGTACTGTGGCGAAAAATGTTATATTATTATATATATATAGTTATGTATTTTTGAACACTTCAGTTGGCTCCATCAGGCATTGAGTATTTGTGCACTCATATTTTAAATTACCTGATAGTTAAGGGAAAGGACAAAAAAATCATTATCATTGCTTTAGTTCTCTTCAGTGAAGTGTTAAATGGTTATGAGTTTAATTTATATACACTCACTGCAAATATGTATTGAAAAAAAGAAGCAGAAACTGTAGAACAAAAGCTAGTATTTATAGAAAGCTGAGCTGTGAACATGACCAGCATAGGCTCCTCGTGCCGAAAGCTTGTAATTATTTCCCTCCAGTATATGTTTGAATAATGTGTTTTAAGCATTCACATACCTAGCATGTGTTATAAATTATCATTATACAGTAAGTTGTTCAAGATTTCATTAAGATTCTCCAGGTTAAGAAGATTAATAGAGAAGCGTATTTACTTTTTAGCTGTTTTTAAGAATCTGCAAAAACAGTCTTTGCTGAGTCCTTGCCCTGTGGAATAAGCGCTCTGCGGTTTGTCCGCCCCTGGGGAGTGACTCTTTGAAGATGACACCCAGGATCACCACCACTTGCCTGTGGTTTGGGAATTTCAAGAGAAAACAAACAAAGCCTGTTTTATGACTCTTGCAAAGGCTTTATTTATTTTGTTTTGATTTGAAACCATAAAAGCTATTACATCCCCTCTGAAATATAAGCGTTGTAAAAGTTTAGCTTCCACCTTTCCCTTATCGTGCCTTATCTGTGCCGGAAAATGCCAGCCTGGGAGGCTTAGGCAAGATCCTTTGTTAGACCAGACGGTTTTGTGTGTGCACGTATGTGGAGACTGGGCTTTAGCACTGTGAGGGCCAGGGTTGGTGCTACCACCAAGGCACTGTTTGCATCTGCCGTGTGAAACCCCCACGCAGCTGTGGGCCTGTGGGGAGGAGGTGAATGGCAAGGAGATGCTCCTGAGTCTCCTCGCTTCCTGCCTTCTTCCCTGAGCCTTGGGAAGGTGGGGAGAGCAGGACATGTGTCCAGGGTTCCCCGAGGAAACCTCTGCTTTCAGAAGATGGGTCTGTGGGAGCCTTGTCCCAAGTAGGACATGAGGTTGCCCAAATTACCTCCATCAGAGGGCCTACGGGCCCTTCTTTGGCCAGGCAGGTCCAGTAGGGGAGCGTCTCCCGCCCCGAGTCATCCCCATCCTCCCAGTAACATCACCCATCCCCTCCACATTTGGGCTCCCCTCCTTGAAAGCAGCATGTCCTTTGGGAAAGGACTTGCTAGACATCACTAGGGAAGGCTGAGTATCCTCATTCAGTATTTCCTTGTCTCCCTGATGTGGCAACGCACAGCATGAAAACTAGAACACATCTCTCTGGGAAGATGTAGGAGAAGGTCCTCGGTGACTGCTTCATCTCCTCCCCTTTCTGAAATAAAGCATGTTAATCATTTGAAATATTGGCCCTTAAATGAGTGTGATGTTATAAATACTGGAGTAAACAGAAATGCTTGCGGCATGGCAGGATAGTTGGACATTTGGTGCCCTCTAGTGGGATTTGTGTTACCAGGACTCTGCTTTGTAATATTGCCAGAGGTCCTGGGCTGAAGGGGGAAAAAAACACAAAGGAAAACCACACAAAACGCAAAAAACTTCTGTAGTTTGGTAAGAACTACCAAGTGGAGATTCAAGGTTTTAATATCTTACTACTGTAGTATGCATGGAACAAAAATTGTCTAACAAACAGAGTTGGGTGTTTTTTTTTTTTTTTCCATATCTGTGCAGTGCTGCTGATTGATGGCCCTTACACAGTGGGACACTTGCAGTGTTGTTCTTGGGCTGCATGGGCTTGCTTTATAGACAGCTGAGGGCAGCGAGGCATTTAAAGGCTTTCAGGAAGGCATCATCAGGCACTGTTTGCATCTGTACATGTCTTTGACTTAGCCCTACCAGTCAATAGACAGGTCTTGGTAAAAACGAGCGCGGATCTGTTGCAATTGATTTTGAGCAATGTGGAGTTTATGAGGAAAGGTCATAACTGACATGATTGATGGTAACAGAATCCAATCCTAAATAAAAGGTGTTTTTTGACAGCGGTGTGACAGAGGAGTTCATTCCAAGTGACTTTTAGCAAGCACAGGTGAGATATGTGTTAGCCCACCAATGGAATATTCCCAATGGAATATCAGCACAGGTGCTCTCCCTGTTTGACCCGCAGACCTTGTGCACATCAGTACATAGAAAATGGTACAGTTTGATGCTACATGTTATAACCAGCTGTTTGTCTTCATTTTTAGATGCTACAACTGTGGTGGCCTTGATCATCACGCTAAAGAATGTAGTCTACCTCCACAGCCAAAGAAGTGCCATTACTGTCAGAGCATCATGCACATGGTGGCGAACTGCCCCCATAAAACTGTTTCACAACAGCCCGCTAGTTCTCAGGGAAGACATGAAGCTGAACAACAGCCTTCCACTTCTGCTGTCCTGAGAGAAGGAGGAGCAGCGTACGGCTATTCGTCTCCATCGTATTCTCAGGAGGGAAGGTCAGAGCTCTCAGAGCGGTCAGGCAGGTCGCCACAGGAAGCTTCTTCAAGTAAGTTATCTGCATCACCTGAAGAACCAAGCAGAAAGGGGCCTTCTGTTCAAAAAAGGAAAAAAACTTAAGAGCTTTTGTCATAACTTTCCATTTTCTTTATCCTCTTGGGATGTCTACCTCATGCAATACAGGGGAAATTATTTCATTATCAGTAGCTGACCTGGAATTTTAACTACTGTTGAGGAACTGTGAATTTTTTTTTTCTTTAATAGACAAATCACTCCAAGCAAAATACATATGATCAGGGTGTGTTAAGTTTTACCTTCTGTATGTTTGTGTATGAGTGTGCACGCGCGTGGGTGTGTATGTGTACTTATCTATAAATATATATATTTTTCATTGAACACTCTCCAACTCCCACAATACATTATTGTGAAGCAATAGATACACTATCCAAAAATGTTCCTGAACCCATTCTTAGAAACTATTTTCAAAGGCACTCAAGAAAAGCAAACAAGAAAATCCAAGAAATCTCTCACACAGCCACACCAAACCTGAAAAACCACACACAGAGCTATGATCAGGACTGTTGCTTTTCTTTTGAACCAAAGGATACTTTCATATTTTAAAGCTGCCATATGGTACTAAAGATACTAAGACATCCCCTCAGCATCAATTTGAGTTATTTTCTTTCTCATACCTATGAAGTATCAATGCCTTTCCCCTCCCCGTGCCTATGAAGGGCAGTGTCATGAGTGAATATGGCTCTCATGGCCACAATCCTTGGCAACTGATCTGATTTAAACTGATGAGGAGTTGAAAGCTCCAGGAAAGACAATGAATGTGTAGTTTCTGTGCTGGTTTCTCAAAGCGTTTTGTTAAATTAATATGGTTGTAATTGTAATGTAGATGACTTGTGTAGGGGAGAATGTGTAAGTCATTACAGACCCTTCTGAGGGGAAGCAGGAGGCCATCCTGTTTATCTCGCTGTTTTCTGTGAAAGTTTAGAGGACCTTGGTGATGGTGGCAGCAGCAGCAGCAACTTCTTTTGGGTCCCAAGTAGTCCCCATTGATGTGAAGGGAATTACGCCTTGTTTACTGTTGAAAGATCATGGAGAGAAGTCCCTAGGAATTTTTTGTTGTTGTTGCCTTTTTTTGTTTCGTTTTGAGAAAAAATAAATGCAAAGCTAAGATGATCCTGGGATAAATAATGCTTTAAGAGTAACGGTAGATGGGTACCTGCGGTTGCTCCGCCAGCCTCCCGTGACGATGCAGCAGGAACCCAGCTGCAGAGCAGCCTCAGTGCAGGGCCCTGCAGACGTGCCCACAGCCCTGGGCATCGCCTGCGTCCTGCCAACGGGAGCCGTTGGTTGTGGGGCAGCCTGTGCCTGGTGTGTGCTGGGGCACACGCTCCATTAGAGACGAGCAGGGTTGGTGGCCTCGGAGCAAGACTCCCCGCGCCGCAGCCCTTGCTCGGGGTTAATGGAGTTGGAGCCTGTGAAAACTTCGAGTCACATCCCATTTGTAACGTCTCGGTTGCCAAGTCATACGGAAGATAACGTACTTTGACAAATCCCATTGCAGATGTAAGTGAATTAGAGAAACCTGCATAATCCTTAGCATTGGCAATAAACACAGACTGTTAAAGCTTGAAAGAGTCAGGTAGGTTTAAGCTCAGATAATCAAGCAGCAGCCCGCGAAGGGCTCCGGGGAGCCCGGGCGCTGCCTGCGGTAACGGCCCTGGCCGGCGGTTGGCGGCCGTTACCACAGGTGCGCGGCTGGCTCCGGGCGTGGCCTCCCCCTTCCCGCCTCTCCTGCCCGAGGAGACACTTACTGTTGCTGCTGCTGCTGCTTCAGTAAAGAGGTTGGGACCGAATGCCTCAGCGAAGGGCACGATATCCAGAGAATTATTTTGTGTGAATTCCTTGCCAGTGTTTGTGAGAATCTCGACAGTTTATACTGAAGTTCTCAGTGTGCTAATGCAAAGCTTACCTTTGACGATATTGAATGTGATGTATCTATAGAGAACTTCCTTGCCTTACGTAAGGATAGTAAACTTATTTAAGTTATGTAGACAAATCAAAGTGGCATTGCTTGACCTTCTAGCCGGTGTGAAAACCAGGTTAAACAGCAAAGATGCAAAACTTAGGTCACTTTGAAAATTTAAACCAAAGTTCCTTATAGAAATAGGCAATTGTGGATTTGAAAACTGGTCATTCCCTGTTTATATGTAAGAAGTTCAGAGCTGAAATAATTTCAACACACAGGTTTTTAGTGGTGCTGTTCGAAATCATTGCATGCACCAACGTCAGACTGAACTGCTAAGAGCACATACCAAACCCTATCTTATTGTTGAAAGCTTAAGGTTTTATTTTTATATAGTAGAATGTTATCACTATTACATAACATACTCAGGACAAAGAACTTTGCTCAGGGAATATACCATGTGATGCTGTGTTTTCTTTACAGAATAGTCTACCAACCTGCTTGCTCAGAACAAACCAAATAGACTTAGACCTTTTTATCTCTATATAAGTATTACGTACTGATATTAGTAACTACCTCTGAGTTGACATAGACCTGCATTTCTGATTACCAGATTTTCAGCATTTTGTATTATAAGTTCCTGTGAAATGAACAAGTGGTATCCTATACTGGTTGCTGGTGTGAGCATTTGTGTGTCTACACTCACAGGGTGTGAGTCTTCAGAGAGACTGGGCAGCCACAGCTCCCACTGACTCCAGTTGGAGCTTTTGGGGCTCAGCCTTTCTAGAAGGGAAGGGAGGGGGGGTGGGGGGACAGAGGGGGAAGAAAACAAAAACAGAAAAACATCAAGCCCACTTTGTTTACATAGGTGACAATAAAATTAATATTCTGTTTACAGCAAAAGGCTACCTCATATTTACTGCATAAACACACCTTTGTGCTCCTCTGGCCTTAAAGGTGGCTGTTGATCTATGGTACATACTTTTTATCTGTACTAAATATGTAACTGGTAATTCACCACTGCATACATTATGGCAAATACTTGTTTAAGATGAAGCATCTATTTGAAATTATGAGAAGACTCCAAACAATTCTTTAAAAGTTTTTATTTTTCTGTCTGAAGGAACATGGGCACTGTTCACAAAAATAAATACCTCTCCAAAAAGCGACAAAAACATACACACCTAAGTCAAACACACAGCAGCATGAGCTGTGGCAGGTAACTACTTAGCACTGGGCTGCTCTAGAAATATATAATGATATTCCATCAATAGGCTGCTCCAAATAAGCAAAGTCTCCTTTAGAGGAGGAGGCACCAATTTGAGTTTGGAATTTTTCCTTTATATCTAAGGATGAAATTAATATTCTACAGCTTGCCTGAGCCCTGATTTCCCCTATTCACCAGCCTGTCCTTGCCAGATGCCTCACAATGAAACTAGCTTGAGTAGAAATAGTTGAAATCTCTGCTCCGAGAGATCTATTTTTCTCCTAACAATACTGGAGATAAGGTTAAACCTGTAACAAGAGTATCTCTCCCTTCCATTCCCTTGGCCCAAAATACTCAATTTGATTTAATCACAAGGGATATTGTGAGATTTTTTTTTTTATTCTCCCTCAAGGAAATTTAATGGCACATACTAGACACTACAAAAATGAGGCTATGAGGAAGGCGTACATTTGGAGGAAGAGCCAAATGACTTTTATTCTGGCTGATGACAAATTTGGCATGACAGGATCATCTAAAATATTTTACTTTTAGCCAGCTTTCAGGGAGTGCCAAACAAGACATTTGGGTCTTAACTCTTCCCTTTGTAGGCCACCTTTTTCAGTTCATTTTTGCTTTGCACCCAGTGCTGGAGTTCCTGCTTAGTCATACTTAGTTTTGAGAATAGAGCCCCATAAAAAGTGTTTATAGATCTTGTAACATTCTTTGTAAGAAGAATTATAAAAGAACATGGGAAATCTCACTGAGTCTTAAATTTAATTTAATTAATTTATCTGTAAGAAATGTTTATCGTAAAAAATATATATGTATTCCCCTGTGCTAGATATAAAAGTAATTGGGAAGATATGTACATGTGCAGATGCACTGATTTTAATTTTCTAGAAGTCTTAATGAGATTTGATTATTGTTTTAGAAACAAGCAGAGCCTTGTTAAATGCATCAATCTTACTTTGCTTAGTATATCAACAGCCTCTTCTTTAAGAAACGTTGGTTGTGTTACCCCTGTTATAACTGTTGACTAATTATGAGAGGCTCATCTATGAACACACATTTCTGTTTTATACTGAAACAGAGCTGTATGTTGGCAGTTCTCATCGTATTTTTATGAGAATGTGGATGAGCACCAAGGTATTTGCTACCGTTGTCATTAAACCAAATGTAAGAGTAACCAGCTTTACAAAGGATAATGGTTTTGACTACCTCTTGGATTACTAAGTTAAGCAACAACTGGCTGACAAACATCACCAGACTGGCTTAAACTAGTATGTGTTGCTTGTGGTAATAATAACAATAACCATACTAGAGACCAAAGTGAACACTGATTTCTATATGTCTTTAATACTGTGTCTTATCTAGTGTTTTTAAATTATCTTCTGTAGTATAGATTACCTCATTGTCCATTTTGACTTGTATGTTGTTTACAAGGTGAAATTAAAGAAAATCACTTGAATTTTATGTTTTAGAAAAAAAAAAGACAGTTCAAGTTTTGAAGGTCATTTCACCTGTTTACTGTCTTGAGGGACTAAAGCACTGATTGCCTTTCTACATATCATGTATTTTATATTCTCATTTCATACCTAATGTCTTTTTTTTTCCTGTCGGTCATGGATATTGTGAGGTTTAAAAGAACTACTTGATTAAAAATAAAACATATAACGTTGGCATTTACAGCAAGCCTTGGAGATTTTCTGTATTTATTTGCGTGATAGAGAAGATGTGGACATGTTCCCTCTCCCCAGCAGTTGAGGTTGGGCACCGTTTGCCCTCAGAGCATCTCCCCCGGGCAGCCAGCATCCTCCTTTGGGCGGTGGGGCCTGTGTGTGCCCGTTAGGCAAAGGTGGGTTATCCAGAGCTGCTGAACACCTTGCTGCGAGCCCACCTCACCACTACTAACCTCACACGGAACGGACAAACGTCACACGGAATCAGTGGCGCTGGTGGGATGTGGCACTGAAGGGACCTGGTGGGCCTGATGTCTCCACAATTGACCAACGAGGTAGCGGGCAGGTCACAGCAGGCCTTCAAAGCAGAAAAGTCACAAAAAGCAACGTTTTCATTTGCCTTTTCTGCAGTTTTTAAGATTCAGGTGTCTAAGACAAGTTCCCATCCCTTCTGTAACCTTAGATGAAAAACAAATCTAGTTCTTCTAGTATTTTTTCCACAATCTACCAGTACCAAGAACTGTTGACACCAGAGCCAGGCATGTCAAAACAACTCAGTACCTGTCTGCTTCCCTTCACACCAGTCTTCTTTTTTGGCGCTAATAATAAAAACTACCCAAATGCAAATGATTTCTAGGCTGGAGCTGCCCGTAGCGAGCAGCAGGTCGCTCTGGCAAAGCATCTCTGCAGTACTTACCCCCCAGTCACTTAACCAGGGCTGCACTAGCCAAACAGTTCCTAAACCAACAAAGACAAACCAGTGTTATAATTACTGTTTTACCAGATGAATACTAGGCAGCAAGAGTTAAAAGTATTTTTGTTTATGTTAGGCATCCACTTTTTGGCACTTAAAATGCAATTTTCCAAACAATCCAAAGTTCAATGCAAGACATAATCCAGCCAGTTCAACCTGATGCACCATGTAAACTATTAAATGGCAGTTACTGCAGTATTGAGCTACAGAGCTGAGCTTTTTTTGCTTGGCTGCTTTAAGTGCGTTTTCCAGTTGGACTTCAGACAAGAGGCCTGAATGCTCCTGAGAAATGGGAAACTCTCCATTCCGTGGCACCTTGCTCTAATCACTTCCATATCAATGACTAGTGCCTAATTCCCAGTGTCTCCAGCCTCAACTTCCAGCCATTTTTCTTTTTCCACTA